GTTGGGAAAGATCACTACCTTTCCAGCGACTGTCCTTACTCTTCCTATATTGATTTTGTTGTTCTTGTTATTGTTTTTAACCTTTTTAAAATTCGTAAAACACAACACATACATGGAAAAGTACACAAAACCAAACAGCCCAGTGAATTATCGCAAAGCAAACACCACTGTCCGGATGAAGACCCAGAGCAGTGCTGGGACCCCAGAAGCCCCCTCCCGGTCACCGCCTCCTCCTCCGCCCTCAGAGGGGACCTCTTCCCCGAGTCACGGCCATCACGCCCACGGTAACCGCGTAGCCCAGGAGTACGCCTTCCTAAACATGGCGCTATTTTACGTTTAATTTACCTTTGCCTTATTTTTGAGTTTAGATACATGGGATTCTGGAGCAAGGATTAATCTATGTTGGACTTCTTTTACTTTATGTTTGTGAAATTCGTGCATATTATTTTGCGTGTCGCTGTAGTTCGTTCGTTGGCATTGTTGCATAGTGTTCTGTTATCTGAATAGACCATAATTTGAACATTCTGATGACAACGGAAATTTAGATTTTATCCAGTTGGGTATTTTTTTATAAATAGTGCTGCTACGAACATGCACAAACATGCCTCTTGGTGAATGGAGATACAGCTTTCTGTTGGAGCTATGCTTAAGGGTAGAATTGCAGGATAGGCCCATGTTCAGCGTTGATAGGAGTGAGCTTCCAGCCATCCTGTCCAGTGGAGTTGTACGGACAGCCCCCATCCTCCCAGCAACAATGTGTGATTATGCACATGGAGCGCTAACAACCAGAGAAGCTCACCTGAGGCTCAGTGTCCAGAGGTTTTATTGGGGCTTGGTCATTTGCAGGTGTTTGACTACTTGTGTGGCTGACCCGAGTCTCCAGCCCCTCCAAAAGTGGAGCGGACAGTGCATGGACCAAGCCTCACCCCCCACCAGCCTTTCTTTGGACAAGGTTAATCCTTACCCGCACATATGGCAAACCCTTTAGGATATAAATCAGAGCATGTCATGGGCCAAGCCTAGAAAGTTCCAGCAGCTCCCCATCACGCTAAAATAAACCCAGATCCCTAATCTAAGGCCCACGTGGTCTGGCCTTTCCAGCTCCTTCTCGCTCACAATATCCCAGACACGCCAATTTCCTTTCGTGTTTTCACGGACGCTCAGCTCTTTCCCGCTGGCCTTCGCACTAGCCGTTCCTCTGCCTGGAATGCTCTTCTCCAGGTTCACTCGTGTTGGCTTCTCCTCGTCCTTCGGTCTCAGCTTAATAAATATCGTTTCCTCAGAAGCGCCTTTCCTGTTTGCCTGAAGGAGAGGGGTGCTCACCTGCGTCAGTCCCTAGCACGTGACCTCGTGATGTGTTCCTCATAGCAGTGATCGTCGCCCGTTAGTTTCTGGCTCATTTACCTGTTCATTTGTCTGTTAGCGGTCTGCCATCCCGCAGGTAGTGACAGAGTAAGATCCTTGACTTTTTCTCTCTCCTCAGTACCTAGAACATACTAGACGTAGAGTCAGAGCTCAGTTCCCTGGATGGATGGATGGATGGATGGATGGATGGATGGATGGATGGATGGATATATGGATGGATGGATGGATGGATGGATGGATGGATGGATGGATGGATGGATGGATGAATAAATAACATGCTTTGCAAATGCCAATTTGAATAAAATCCATTCTTCACAGCAAGGCTTTCAGACCCTTTACTATGCTAATATGAATTGTGAATCGCTGAGTGTGAATCATGTATTCATGTTCCTGGGAATACTTTTTGGGGAAGATCTATGTCAAAAGTCAGCATTTTTAGGGATTCAGAATCATTTTCACATATAACTGACATTTTAAAGGAAAGCAAACCTAACACATGCATATAGTTTTTACAGTTTCTTTTACTATTTCTACTCCATCCTTTAGGACTCTGCCCTCTGCTAATTAGTCTAATCAATTAATTTGTATTTAGATCTAAATGTGTAATACTGCCTTAGGGCCCTTAACCCCTTTTATTTGTTTATGTTTCTATTTATTTATTATATTAAATCCCCACTGTTATAGGACACAAAAATAATGATAGGTTAGTGAAAGGTGGTTTCTGGAATGGAATCGTTCAATATCCCCCAGGTTACACCCCCAAGGTGCCTGTCTGTGTCCTGTCTGCATAAGTTTTGATTATCGGAAAGTCACGTTATTTCTATTTGAAATTTTAGAATCGATGAAAATTTGTTTTCAGATACTAAAGATCCTGGTTTCTTTCTGTCCATGGAAATAAGGTTCGTAGTTATCTGCTGCCGGCGACAACCTCTTCCCACTTCACGTGCGTTCAGCGGGGGATTAGGGGCCAGACATTGTGGATGAAGGGGTTGGGAAGCGCGGGCTGATCTTGTCTCCTGTGACGGTTCCGTTTTGGGCTCTAAGAGCTGGTCTACTTCGGTTTTGTCCTCAGACCTAGAGCACAGCTTCTCCTGGCCGCTCCACCTTGGTGGAGTTTGAACTTCAACTTCTGAGTTCCCAGTTGGTATGTGGCTCCACTCACATAGCGAATTGGCCTTGTGTTACTCCCTGCGGTGACTCTTCTTTGAGTAGAATACATGATGACTGGGATTTGGGAGCCTGTGAATTCCCTTTGAACCTTGCGTCAGATGCTCTGCAGTTGTCCCCAACTCCTGTTCATGGAAACTGGGAGTTCTAATTTGAAGTTCAAAGCATTCTATGTTATAGACCACTATGCGGACAAACCATCCTTGGAAACAGGCTGCTGGTCAACCTCTGTCCACATGTCCCCAGTGTCCAAATGAATATTTCTGTCCATTAAATTCACTACGTATAGTTGGCCACCTCCTGAGGTTACTGGCCAATTCTTGAATAAGTTTTAAATCAATCATGAAAATAGTTGTTAAGTCATATAAATTACTGCCATAGGATCTATTTACAGCCAAGATTTTACAGACGGGTGACTCGATAACTGTGTTTTTATTTGCTTTGCACACTAGGCAACAGTAGTGTGCAAATTCTGTCGGTTATCTCGTGACTCTTGTCCGAAGTCCTCTGGGTTCGATTTAGGGGAAATTCAGGTATTCTAGTAGAAAAACAATTGGTTAAACATGAACAGTTAGAAAACCCCTTTCTACAGCCTGAAACACAAACGTGAGAGGTAACATCAAAACCAGAACACAGTTCTCCAGCCAAGACTTTCTCTGTTGAAATCCACAGGCAAAGGGGGAAGTGACGATGGCCTCCCTCTGGGGACGGCTTAGCCACCAGGGCTGCCCCAAAGCCTGTTAATCAGCTTCTTGGTGTTGGTGGTGGGGGCCGGCGGGTGGGGGGCGCGGGCATGTGTTCAGAGTTTCTCGGGCAGAGGTCCACACGGCCCCCTCAGCGTTTCCTCTTTGCCAGGTGTGTACAAAGGCCTGGAGACCTGGAGGGAATGTCAGATGCAGACATTCCCTCCACTGCTCTCAAGCTAGTGGTCATGTCAAGGGCTGAGATGAAGGGCTGCCTTTACCTCAGCCCCTTGCCTGCATGTGATTTCTGATGAAGCACACGAGACAGCAAACGGCCACCACCCCATCAGTCCCAGCTGACAGGACCGTCCTCTGGCAGTGCTGTCCCCTTCTGCCTGAGGCTTTCCCATTACTAATATTCTGGTTTCTTGTTTGTTTGTTTGTTTGCAGTCCGTTGTTGTCAGATTGTCCCAGTAAACCCAGCCCTAGGAAGTGCTCTTTTGAAAGCCAATCAAGTCCCCAGCCCCCAGAGCCATCCACCAGTCGGTCCCTGCCCCTTCCCTTCCTTCCTTCCTGCATCGGGGTTCCCAGGCTCAGCACCTCAGAGCTGACAGTTCGAAGCTTGGAGAAACTTGACGGTCAGGGGGTCCCGTTACTACCAATCCAACCACATCGTGGATTTGGAGGGCTTCGGGGAGTGGCTGAGAAACCCACAATCTTTTAGAGCATTGAGAAAATTCCCGAGGAAGTTCCCATGACTGTCAAAGTGCTGTTCTTGCATTTTTGCCTTGTTTCAAAAAATTTTCAGAAGCAATGGACTTGAACCGGAGCCCATCTGTAAGTCAGGGCCTGCCTGACTCTAAAAGTAGAAATAAATAGCTCAAGCTTTCAAGCATATAGGCATGGAAAATCAGACACATCAAACAGAGACGTGTCGGAAAGAATGGAGAGAGACACATTGTGACCAATGTGACGGAGATGGGATTAGTTGGGTGGTGTTTAGGGTGGGAGAGGGAGGATCCCAACTTGGCGGCTCAGAATGCATCACGATGCCTGTGCGGCGATCTGGCGGCTGGGACAGTTAGAAATCGATGGTTATAACGGATGTGTCTCACTTTATCTTGCTGTCATTCTATTGCACGGGCTCCTCCCCGCCCTCCTCCCTTCGCCCAGCCTCGCATCTTCCTCCCATCCGCATGCATTCTGCTCTTACTCCACGTTTGGGCGGCAGTAGGTTGCTTGCTCTGAGCCTTTGCAAGATTGGCAGTAATACGTGCTGCTCTATTTATCATCTTTTTCAAAAACAGATAAGGAGGATGGCTAATAGCAAATGAACCGCAGCTCAGCCCCCTGCTGTTCTGCAAAGCATATTTGCTTACCAGGCCCAGGCCCTGGCCCCACAGGCCGTGGCTCGGGTGGACCAGCCAGGAGTGCTGTCCACAAACACGGCCAAGTGTGGAACTGGATAGAGAGTTCGGGCGAATCCCCGACTCCTGGCTTTCTTCACTTATTTTCAGAATCATCCATAAACTCAGCTGCATAGAATGAAGTGTCACCAGCAAAGTTCCTTCTCTGGCTGGATCCTAAGCCACGTCTTCCTGTATCTCTGGGTAGCAGGTTCTGCTGCTCGTCACTGAGACATGAGCCTAGTGATAAATAAGAAGTCATTTATCAGATCGCTGCGTAGGTCAAGACCGGGTCTGCAAATAAGAGCTTTCTTGGGGAGCCGTGAACCACAACCGCGTTAAATTCCAAAAATAACGTGTCCTTTCCCCACGATTGCAGATTGCCGCATCCCTCAAATCGAAGATGCTGACATTCATAACAAGACTTACAGACACGGAGATAAGCTAATCATCACCTGTCACGAAGGATTCAAGATCCGTTACCCCGACCTGTACAACCTGGTTTCGTTATGTCGTGAGGACGGGACGTGGGACAATCTGCCCATCTGTCAAGGTACGAGACAGAGGTTGTGGTTCTTGGCTGTTTTTCACCCAGACTGTGTTGTAGGGGGTGTGTGTGTGCGTGTGCGTGTGCATGTGTGTGTGCGCGCGCGTGTGTGTTTCTCTAACAGAATAAGAACGACGGAGGGGAACACAAAGCCGCCCCCCACCTGCACCCCACATGGTCCAGCCAAAGCTCCGCTGTGGCCGTCCAGCTCTGTTCTCAGAATCCCCGCATCACGCCCGATGCTTTTCTCCAGCCCCGTGCACCGTTTTAAGGTATATATGGAAATGGCCTTATTCTTTAGCACACGGGATGTCTCCTTTACTCGAAGAAACCACAAGGAGCTTAAGAACGAGGCGACTTGCAACCAGGCTGTGAACGCAATGATGAACTAGCGTGTGTTTAATGGAAATAACAGAGCATTTATACTTATTTTAGTAGCGCTGAGAATATGTTTCGAGCCAATCTTACAGAGGCTATTTTCTCGTAATAATGGTATCTCTTTTTATAATGTATGAGAAACGGAAAAATAATCAAATTCAAATTTCATCCAAACCACACGGTGAATATTTATCCTCTTGCATTTTTTTAAATATTAGCCTGAGCCGACATGCAGGGTTTGGTTTGTGAAACTAAGCCCTCGAGTTCACATGAATTCCGATTTTATTGTTTGACATGTGACTCGGACCAGAGGACCAAGAAGCCGATGCATAATTAAAAATTCAGGGGAGAGAGAGAACAATCTTATTTGCACTAAAAGCACCGGCACATTCAAGTTGAGACAAATGTTAACTTTGTGCTTGGAAATCATAGCTGGCAGACTCTGATATTATTTTTCGTGCCCTGCAGTTGGAAATAAATCATTTCCTTATGTGAGAGCGTACGAGTCATGGCCCCTTGAAGACACAAAGGCTTTGGGTGAGGAGGAGAGAGGCAGCTCAGCCTATCTCAGCCCTGCTTTCTCTCCCCTCCCCCCCCAAACTTCCCGTGCTTTTTAGCCTGTTCTAGATTACGTTTTCAAAGGAGGCGTGATTCATTTACACTCTCAGAGACCAGCCTCGAAATCCGCCCGCTGGCTCTCGGGTTGGAGGTTGGGCTATTTATTCAAATGAACTTTATTAACCACTAATTGGTTCCAGTCCTGCAGCCCTATCTGAGTCATGGTGAAGGAGATGGCCTCGGACTGCAGCCACTTCTTGCTCCTGTTATGGCACTGAAATACAGTATGCTTCTTGAGGTGTTCTCTGCGCCCCGACATCTCGGGGTGTCGTGGTCAGGAGTTCAGACAGAAGCTTTCCCCTTGCTCTGTCTGGGCCCTCTCGGCCCTCCCCTCCAGGTCCCCTCCCTCAAATCTCAGCCCAAACAGAGCTTTTATAGTTCTGGGACAACAGAAAAGCCTGTCAGCTGCTGTCGGGAGGTGTGCTTCTTCAGACAGCAATACACCCCCCGGCTCATCTTCCCTCCTCCCTCCTCAGAGTCCTCTGTGCCCGAGAGGAGGTCGCCTTGGTCTGTGCCCCGCTCCGCACGCCGCCACCACCGGGCACAGCATGAGAAACGAGGAATCGTGATGCCTCCAGCAGCCTGACACCTCTCCAGCCCCCAGGGGAAATCTAATTGGTCCTCAGAGTGACATTTCATTCTCTAACTTTTATTTGCACCTATAGACCCAGGAGCTAACGCCTGGGGAGGCCGTCCTCTCTCACCTGCAAGTGCAAATGGAAATCGTACGGAGCTATGATTGAGCCGAAGCCGCTTTTCTGCCGTTATATTTAGAACGGGCCGTCTCCAAGCAGGAGTGAGCGAATCTTCCCTTCTCTGATTCACAGCTGGGGTTATAACCCCTTCCGCCTCCTTTTGGGTCTGGGAGAGAAGGGACATTTTTTTCCATGGAACTTCGTGTTTTGGAGAGTGGCATCCTGAAGCCTCCTGCTCACTGTGGGTCAGAGTTAGTTTTATTTAGGGGAAGCCAGTTTATCCAGGCGGGTAGCGTGGGACTACAGTGTGTTGGGCTGTGCCATTTTATAAAAGAGACTTGAGCATCTGTGGATTCCGGTCTCCACGGGGGGTCCTGGAACCAATCCATGATACTGAGGGACAAGTGACTTTTCTCAGGAGTCAAAATTTACACGTAGACTTTCGACTGTGCAGGGGTTCAGCACCCCTAACCCCTACGTTGCTCAAGGGTCAACTGTTCCCTCCTCGGGAGGAGGCACAGACACAGCCATTGGTGCCAACTCTGGACTATTCATAGAGGTTCTAATACAGTCACTTGTTCTAATATTGATTTGCTTATCTTTTTTTTTATCAGAATTATTGATTCTGTTTATTCCTGATGTCTAACCTTCCCCCACACATTTCACATTTGCCATGAAACACTGTCAATTTTCAGCTCAAGAAAAAATATATGGGAGGCCATGGGGCTGCCTCGGGGTGGCTGAGCGCCCTCACATTTCAGAGTGGTCCATCCTGAGCGCTGGCCAGTTCTGGGCAGCGGTTCTGGGTGGCGGTCTGCTATGTCTTCAGAGCTCTGTGGCCCCGAGTCACAGCGGTGCTGGGTCAGCACTTGCGCCCCAGCGTGAGCACCTCCCTAAATTCTGCATGCCCGGGGGGCCTCTCTCGCCTCACCCTGGTCTCGCCCTGATACGCAGACCTCACACTGGGATGCTGACTGAGCAGTTGAACACCCAGCTTGTCGAGGCTTAGTATAGCATGCAACACAGTCAGCTGAGGAGAGGGGTTCAGCCGTCTGATGTAACTTGTCCTTGGTGACTGGAAAGGAAACTAGGTATTTCCATCATGCGTTATTTACTTCACACGCAATTAGTTCTCCCCGGCAGGAGCACCAGCTCCGTGGGGTCATTATACCCTCCAGTGAAACTGCCGAAGCCAGAAGCCAGTCTGTGATTACAGTGGATGCCGCACAAAACGAGATTCTGTGCCAGTGGGAACATTCCCTGGCTGCACAGGCTTCAAGACAAAGAGGCGGCTACTGTTTTCCAGAAGTAGGAGCGTGGGGGCCGGGCCCCACTTCCACTGGGAGTACACGCAGAAGTCCGTGCGCGTGCCCGGATGGACTCACTGTGAAGCAGAAGAGTCCCTGGACCTCCAGCGGCCACCTCAGCACGACCTGGAAACCTCAGCACGTCCTTGGAGCTGCGCGGAGCCACCGAGCCAGAAGCCCTAGGGTGGGGCCCAGCGGCCCATGTCCTCATGGGCCCTCCGTCCTGGCCATCCTCACGTTTGAGGTCCGCTGCGTTGCAGGGTTCCTTACCTACTTCACATAAAACAGCTGGGTTTTCAGAAGTTTCATCTCGTTGTGTCAGGCAGCCATCGGTTCCATATTCTGTGGCAGTGCAACAGAGTCTGCGTCATGACCACTCAAGACCCCACCACCACTGTTGAAAGAGTTGGGGTGTCTTTTTCCTCTGTGGCACCTCAGAGTTTCTCAACCCCGATGACACATTAAGATTGCTTGGGGAGCTTTGAAAAAGATCGGAGGGTCCAGGCTCTCCACCGACTCCGGGCACAAGGCGCTGGACACGGGGCATTGGTGTTTTCTAGAAGTTCCTCAGGTGATTTTAAGGTGCAGTCAGGGCTGGAGCCACCAGCTAGGGCCTCCGGATCCTCAGCTACACCCTCCCTCACGGCCCCCCTACTCCGACCCTCCAGTGCCATTTGCAACTATAAAATCAAATATCCGTATTATGGAGAGAAGAGGTAAGTGGGCAGGGAGTCCGAACACTTAGGAGTACGGTGTGTTCCTTCCTCTCAGGCCACGTGTCCGGGGGGAGCCCGAGGAACGTTTGGTGCTGTGTTTGTCGTCCGGGTGTCCAAACATGACAGAGAGAGACTTTCCCTTTTTTTTCCCACCTCTCCCAGGCTGCCTGAGACCACTGGCCTCTTCCAACGGCTACGTGAACATCTCCGAGTTCCAGACGTCCTTCCCCGTGGGGACGGTGATCTCCTATCATTGCTTCCCCGGGTTTAAACTCGAGGGGTCGGACTACCTCGAGTGCTTGCACAACCTGATCTGGTCGTCCGGCCCGCCCCGGTGCCTTGCTCTGGAAGGTAAGACATCTCATTCTTTTGGAAGCTGAATCTTGCATGATCGAAGCGGGTGTTTCGTCGGGAGGTGAAGCACTGAGGATATGGTCGGCGGTCGCTTTCGCTTTCTGGAGACACGTCGTTTGCCTCCGTCCTGAGCGGAGGCCGCTAGCCTGGTCGTCTGCCCATGAAGCCGTCCTGAAAGCCAGACACACAGCCTGCTTCCCCCGGCCTTGAGCTTGAGGGAGAAAAGAGAAAAGTTTCAGGCATCGCAGGTTAAACGGTGAAATATTGCAAAGTTCCGCGAAATGTCTTCAAAAATTAATTTTCTCTGCACCAAATGAAAACAGATTATATTATGGCATCATTAATCCCACCCCTCATTTTTATTGTTGTGCGAATGTTTCTTCCTATTCCCGTGCATTTTATGGCGTAGCTGTAAATAGTTTTGCCGCAGACACACACTCAGAAGCCTGAAACGAAGAGCTCTTTCCTCCTCGTTTTTCTTAAATATATGGGATCATTTTAGCGTGTGAGTCACGAGTAATCGCTAGCTAGTCGTATGAAGCAGTGTGGGGGACGCGGCAGGCCAGTGACTGAGAATGCAGAGTTCATGGCCGCTTCTGCCAGGCACGTTGGATGAGCTGGCTCGGCATTAATTCAGGTCTTGAAATTATGATTGGAGAGAGCAAACACTGATCTGCTTCTTGGCGTCTGTTGAATGCAGTGGGTGGGAGAGGGGGGTCTTTACACGGAAAGGAGCCTTCCAGTCGGGAGGCCCTCAAAGCCTACTTGCAGACTTTCTTGGGAAACAAAACAAGACACGACAGAATGTGGAGACAGACGAGTTCTTACAAGTAGCATTTCTATGGTGTGCACCTCAGCGCAGGAAGAGGTCCCATTAGAAGGTGGCGGAGGCAGGGGACAGCCAGAGGAATCAGAGCGGCCCATCTCCTGGGCTACTTCCCACCCACTCTGGAGGGTCAGAACCTGCAGTAGAAATGTCAGATAAAATACAAGACGCCCATTTAAATCTGAATTTCAGGTAAATGACAAATACTTTTTTGATGTGAACATGTCCCAGATATTGTCTGGCATGGTCAAAAATTATTCTTTGTGTATCTGAAATATCAGTATAACTGAGAGTCCTATACTTTCACTTGCTGAGTCTGGTAACCCTGCTCCTGAGTGACGGGGCAGCCCCGTTTCTCCACTGGGATAGCTTTTCTGCCGTCTGGACACCCTGGCCGGCCAAGGTGATGGGGCCACTGGTGAAAGGGGGCTTCTGGAGGTTTCTCCCTGCTCAGATAGCCAGGAATATGGGATCGGTGAAAGGGATCATGATTGTGATGCTATTGATTTGAAATGCCTCCTTCAAAATCTTTTCAAGTTTGGCTGAAATGCCTTTCGAGCCGTCACGTTCTGATAAGCTTCATTTTGGGACTTGGGAAGCAGTTATTGTGGAGCCCAGGAGAGGTGATGTGTGAATGGGCAGAAAACAAAATCGAACTTCGAGGGGCACTGAGCTGAGCTTACGAACAGGGAGCTGTGCCTGGCTTCTGATGGGAAACGTGTCTCGTGGTTTAACGTGTGTCTCCTCTTCCTCTGCCAGCCGGGGCTGTGGCCAACGGAGGGCGCTGAAAACCAAAGGTGACAGCGGCCTGTGCTAGAAAGGCCTCTTAACACCCTGTCACCCCTCAGTTAAAAAAAAAAAAATCTTTACATCTTTATTTTCGATACAGGTCCCTTTAAATTATCTGATGGAATTGGTTTGTGAGAACTTTAGATGCTCTCCTAGCTAAAGGCACCAAAGACATGGCAAAGGTAGACTAAAGGGTTTTTTGTTTTTTTAATGTTAAGACTTGACAGAAACTGGGTTGAATTCAGAAGCAGCGGGTTGAAGGAGGAGGTCGGGGTTCACAGCACCCTCGCCGGATGCACCTCAGTGCTGGCAGTTCTTTAGCTCTCGCTCGAATCGAATGTCACCTTCTCAAAAGGCGCCGCCTCGTTCACGCAGTATTGTCGTAGGGCAGTCAACGGAGATGAACCGTCAGAAAGGGACTCGAACCCTTTGCTGTTTCACCCACCCCCGCCCCGTTTTCCCGTCTTTCTTGGCACACCGTGTGAGTTTTCTCGGTGGCGTTAGTGAAAATCGCTGTGTCGCGCTGTGGCATCGTGACCCTCACGGGGCTTTTCGACGCGTTGGGGTGTTCTGACCCCTACTGGGGCCGGGGCCGGACCGCTGTGCTTTCTCCTTGGGCCTTTATTCTTTTCTCTTTCCTGTCTCCCTCTTAGTCCCCCAATCCGTCAGCTGTCAGTTGTGCCCGTCACTTCACGAGCCAGGAGCTAGAGGATCAGCAGGGTGATCGCGGAGGCTACGTGCGCTGGCCGCGGCCTGGCTGGGTTCGCCGTTCACTGCCTGCGTCTCCGACTTAATCATTTTGACCTGGGGCGAGTCACTTAGCTTCTATCCGCCTCCATTTTCTCGGCTGTAAAATGAGAGAAGTGACTGTCATTACCTCTTGGAACTGTGAGGACTCAGTGTGGTTACAAATGGAACACATTTAGTGAAGGGCTTGGCACACAGTAGGAGATCCATGCGTGTCCGTCATTATCCTTGCTCTTGGAATTGTGTACAAAGTCACAATAAATAAGTGAGCATCTGGGCAGGACTGTGTGAAGATAGTACCCAAGCTTTTATGCATCTATGTGGTGACACTATTTTGCTTGTTCAAATGCTATTTTGGTTACTTGCATAGTTTTAGCCGTGTTTGTGTAAAATGAATCTCAGATAATGAGAGGAAATACTGAACAATAATAATAATTGCCATTTAATTTTGAGAACTTACGATGTGTCAAAGTGTTTGAGACACACTCTCTATTCCTCTTTGAGGCTGTATTTAACTATATTTAACTATATTTTACTCCATTTTACTGATGAGCAAACCCTGGCTTTTAAAGGTTCAGTAATTCACCCGAAGTCACGCAGCAAGTAGGTTTGTCACTTCAAAGCTCATGCTTTTAAGCTCCAAGGCCCATTACCTGATTGACTTGTTCTGATCACTTTACAATCCAACAGGGAAACAATGTGGTATTTTCATAGCCATTTTTTTTTCCGAAGAGTCAAGAAAATTAAAAGAATTCTCACGTAGGAAGGGCTTTGTCTTTTGAGCCTCGTTATTCTCCCTGTAGAAATCCCAGCTACAGGGGACCTGAGTGCAGAGGGAGGCCCTGCTGTCCACTGGGTGGCAGCTAGCTGTCACTGCTGCCATCTAAGTGACCATTAGTCTCCCATGTCACAGTGGAGGTGACCTCAGCCCGTGGGCTGATTACAGTTACTAGTTGTGTCTCCTTTCCCAGACCAGGAGACCAACACCTTGAAGAATGACAGGACGGGTCCAGACCCCCCAGCTCTAGGTCCGTGGTGCTTTCTGCCATGTGGGATGGAGAGCACTTTGTGAGGGCAGGCTTGGCTGGCACCTATGTTGAGTGACAGCTGTCACACTCACATGTCGATAGGCTCCTAATTGACGCCTGCTTCATGAAGGAGGTTCTAATTTGGAAGGAAAAGCTCTGGCAGCTTCGGCAAAGGTGTGGATCGTGTCTTTCGAAGCCCGTGCTATCACACCCGGGGGATCTGTGTTTCCTCATAGCTGTGTTGTGGGGGCAGAGCCCCCGGAATCACAAAGTCCTGGACCTCAGTGTTGGCTGCGTCATTTAAAAATAGATGAATAGACACGTTTGGACCGGGAAGGAGCTTCGTGGGTTTCCACAGGCTGGCCTGTCTCACTGCGCGTCTGTGTGCGTAGCCTCATCTCTGTGTGTCTTAACGATTTCCATTCTTGGGCCATCATCATTTCTGAGGCTCTCATTTCTCTCTCTCTTTCACACACACACACACACACACACACTCAGAATCCAAGAAATCGTAATAAAAACAACCGACGAATGTGGGCATTTTCTCATTTATAAGTGCTAAGAACTCAGTTTACACTGACAGTGGTGTTTATTGAACACCTGCCGGGCACAGAAAAAAAAAAGCGAACTGGGCCTTGGGGCATAACAAAGAATGGAGAGGACATAATTCCTTCCTGTGAAGGATTTAGATCCTGATGGGGAGGACAAGATGACAAAGCCCGTCATCCGGAGACCAGCATTATTACAGGTGGCATCCGCACGCGCACGCACGGCCGCATCAGCGCTCACACATTTGGGACGGGTGGGAGGAAAGTTCCGGTAGGTGATACCACGATTGTGAAATGAAAGTTTCTATGCAGGGATTTACGGGGTTCTTGGTTCTTTTCATGGGAGACCAGACGGAAACCTGCTTCCTATTTCCGGGTAGCAAAGGTTAGGACAGATGGTTGACGACAAAACTTGGAATCGGAGTCTCGGGTCGCGACCACGCTGCTTAAAGATTCCTCTCTTTGCCCAACTGTTATATTACAGGACGAGGTTCTTCATCCAGAAGTGTTTTCCACTAGATTTCGAGGGGAAAAGATGGGATCCGATCTAGAGAGGACCAGTCAAACATTTAATGAGAGCGAGTTTGAAAAGAGCTATTTTAAATGAATGCCTGTGAGAGTCATCTAGTTGTGCAGTAAACATTCTCTTTAACGTCCATACGCTGAGTGTTTTGCGAGGTGCAGACACTGCAGAGGCAAATGAGCGATATAAGGTCTCTGCCCCTGGGCTGGCATGTCTAGGGCGTTGTTCCTGAGCTCTCACTCCTGCCCAGGTGGGACTCAGTTCCGAATATTCCATCTGGACCTCATCCAGGGCCTCTGGTGGTGGAGAAGATGGTCGCCAACACTGAGGCCACCTAAAAGGGGCCCTAACGGGGGTATCCATGGTTTTGAAAAAGCTGGAGAGGGTCACTTTGCTGTGTCGAGTCCGCTCTGTGAAGCGGTGATGTCCGGCGGCTGCTCAGAAGGCTGCGGGGCACATGGCAGTGAACAGCGGCCCAGGGCCCAGGGGGGTCTGTCGTGTTTGCGTGTTTGCTTTTCCCAAATGGGGAACTGAAT